TATTGGCTTCAAAAATAATTGACACACAAATTGTTTTTATAGCAGGGTCTCTCCCACCTAGCCTAATCATTCATTCCCCATCTCATCACAAATCCTTGGGGCGAGACGACTTCATCCCCACGGCGATCGCCAACTCCTACACCGCCCCATCGCCTCCACAACGATCTCCAACTCCTACACCGCCCCATCGCCTCCACAACGATCTCCAACTCCTACACCGCCCCACCGCCTCCACAACGATCTCCAACGTCTCCCACGCCGGTCTCCACCAACACCGGCCTCATCGCCTCCACGCCGATCTCCAACACCGCCCCACCCCTCCACAAATGACGCACTACAAAGACGCCTAAGGTCCCGGCAAAGAAGACCCCAAGAAAAAGAGTTATTTCTCAAGAAATACTTCTGAAAAAGACCCGATGAGCAAATAGCAAATTGAAGAAGACAAAAAAGTAAAAGATTTTTTATAGATATCAAAAACAAGAGTCAAGCAAAGCTTAAGGAGAAGCCGTACTTTTACATACCACGAGATGTCTTTGAAAGGTGTAAGGTCGATGCTCACAAGAAAAAGATGATTGAACTTCGTAAGCCTTCGCCACTATCGACTATGACCGCTCCCTCGTGAAGTCACATGATGCGAGATAAGAAAAGGAAAAGAGCATCGAGGAAGGATGTCCCACACTCGGACAACGAAGCAACCAATGCAAAATCTTGTTGTTGCTAATGAATATGGTTCCAACATAGAAGTCTATCGACCGCACAACTCGGAGAAGTGTCGGTTCAAGCCCTTAATGCTTTTTTTAAAGATACCGGTTTAACCTTGGATCAATTGACGGGCAAAGCTCAATCCGAACCCGAAAGTTGATACCGGAAGACTTATAAATATGGCAAAAGTCTGTACAACCTGCGACTCTGAATGAATTGGATGCATAAATGTACTTGCTCAACAAGTGGTACATGCAGGCGTGTGGCGGGGTGAGCAAAGTGGATCTTTGTCGATTTAGAGACCATCATTACTTCCGTGGCGATGACATCTTACATATTAGTTTCAAGAATTGCATCAACTATTCCACTTGGACGCCTGGACAAATCAATCATGAGCTCCTTTTGTTTGTAAGTGATTCTTACTTTTATTTAATAAACTCACTTCCATGCGTGCGTGTATATAATTATCCTCACATGTAACTTATATTTATATATAGATTCCGGATGTCGAGCTCCAAAGAATACAAGACACCGATGTTGGCTTCATTGATCCTTATATCGTATTCAAAACCGATATTATTGTCAAGGACCACCGGGTATCTGAAGCTACGAGGAATATCATGAAGTTCTTCATTGAAGCGAAGACGACAAGACAACAATACTTTTCCCGTACAACTTTGAGTAAGTGTTAATAATAATGTAGTCTACACATTTTATGTAATATCAATACAACTTATATGCATGTACGTGTGTGTATAAACCAATGCGCTTTCATTTGGATACTCATTGTCATTGAGTTAAACTCAAGTCGGTTTACTAATCTTTGACTCGTTGAGAAAAGAACGGGCACTATACCAAGATATGATAGATATTATCCGAGGTAATTTCGATCTCTCGCAAGACAACTATTATTGAATAGACTTTGCCATAATTTATTAACGATCGTACATTATTGGTCGCACGAGGGTTTGGAAAGAGTTTATTCGGCAACATCGCAAGGATTGCAAGGCACCACTTAATGTAGTTGAAATACCGATAAGTTGTACTATATACACTTCCCCACGTGTTTAATTACTATATCGTACTTCAATTTACGTGTGAGATGATGAGAATAATCTTCTTCTCGTACAAATGCAGTGGTGTTTATTGGCGAGAACCGTAATAACTTATGTGGATACTACGTTTGTGAATTTATCATCACGCACATAAGAAGAACTCCTGAAGATGTCCTCGAGTACGTATATATCAATATTTATTTATTTTAAAAAGAATATATATACATATATGTGTATTAATACTTTTCCTTTTATTTCAAATGCAAGACCGAATGGTTGAAACGAAGGGTCATGCAAAAAGACCATCTCGAAAGCAGTTCAAGAGTCAATAGCGAGATATCTTCTAGAAAAGTGCTAAATCCCAACGGCGAGTTCTACTTTGATCTTAAGGAATAAATGATATAAATTAAATGTTTATTGATATCGTTATTTTCGAGAACAAGATTATGAAAGTGTTGTATATACACACACACATATATATATATATATATCTATAATATATATAGTTTCATACTTTATTCAATATAATAATGCTCAAGATGAGAATTAGATGTAATTATATGCATGCGTGTATTTATATTAGCAACGTAGAATACGTACATAAAAACATATTATATATTAAACAAATACGTGTAACTGAACTGAAAACAAATTAAACAAAAAAAGAAAAAAGAAAAGGAACCGTTAGTCCCAGCTTGGGGTTACCAACCGGGACTAAAGGGTGAACTCATTAGTCCCGGTTGGTAACCCCAACCGGGACTAAAAAATCTTGCCAGTTCGTTTCGGTGGAGGGCCTTTAGTCCCGGTTGGTGTTACCAACCGGGACTAAAGGTCCCTCTTTAATCCCGGCTCGATGACCCGGGACTGAAGGTTCCACCTTTAGTCCCGGGATCGTTGTCCCGGCGCGGTAACCGGGACTAAAGGCTGTTACCGCCCGGGACAACAGGTCCATTCTGTAGTAGTGGATATGTATTATGATTAACCATTAACTGAACCAATTTAACCGAAACTGATTTTGGTCAGTGATTAGTTCTTCTGCAACAAATCCGGTTGCACTTCTCCAAAACTAAAATTCTTGATAACCGATTTTACCGAGTTGACCGAATGCCCAGGCCTACATCCATGGGCCGCTTATGTAAGAAGTAGTATTTTGATTCGTTCGGTTCAACTCGTCTACTGTAGTTGATTTTGGTTCTGAGTTCTGACACATAAACGTACACGCCTACAATGTCCATGGTTGGATTATCTACGCCCACGGTTACATCTCTATGTGTAGCTACAATAATGTGTTCAAAAAATGGTCCATAAGTCAACTAATGTAGTCCATATATATTGTGCAATTTTTAAAGTAGTCTATACAGTACAGATGTCAGAGCTAAAGTAATACATACTCCCTCCTTTCCAAAATATATAGTTGACGTTTTAGGTAGCGTTTCGCTTGGAGTTAAGGCGGAGCGGGACGGCCCCATCTTTGATTTCTAGGATAGGACAACCGCGTTTTCTGTTTGGTTGCGAAGGGACGGGATCAACCCTTGCTTCAAAGACATCAAAAGTGGGATCATCCACCTGACATGTGGGCCTTATGTGCCAATCTCTTCTCATGCTTCTTCTTTTAACATTGACACATGGGACCCATTTGTCAGTTTTTTTAAAAAAATTCCATTTTCTTTCTCCTCTCCTTACCCCTTGGTTCTCAACCACATCTCCACGGGCGTGCCTCCACCGGACCTGGGGCGCGGAGCTGGCCCGCCCAGTCGTGCGCCGGAGCAACGGGTGGAGCTCACCCGCCCAACCGTGCATCGACACCAAGTGCGGAGCTCCCTCACGTTCAGGCCTAGATCTCGCCCCGCCGTCGCACGGCATGGCCGGCCATGGAGCTCACCCGCCTGTTCCATTACTTGCCACCCTGTGCTCGTCTTGGCCACGCGCGCGTTCTCTTCTTCCTCCCCTACGTGTGCCTTCTCTTCTTGCTCGTGCGTGGGCAACGGCCGTCCCACCTGGGGCGACCCAGTCCACTCGATTTATGGGGGCAGAGGTGTTCCGCATATGAAGGGAATATTCCCCTCAAGGACGGTCCCGTTCCGGCTTGCCCCCAATCAAACAGCATAAAAAGGGGATCATCCCACCTCCATCCCAAATCATCCCCCAACCAAACACTAGATTTGATTGCGGGAATCAAGGATGATAGGTGAAAAGATGTGCACAAAAAACAAGAAGGAGAAAGATAGAAAGAAATGAAGAAAGAGATAGAGATGTATTGGGAAAAGCAAAATGCATATTGGGAGAAGAGAAAGTTGTATTGAAAAGTGAGAATGCCTAATATTTTTGGACAAAAATTTGAATCTTAAAGTGAAGTATTTTTTATTGGGAAGGAGGTAGTACGCTTAAGGCGGCGAAAAAAAGGATGGCTGGACATGTTGTCAACAGTGTTGGCGCCCTTTCCCATGGTGCCTTTGTCCGCTGGCTCACTTGATGTCGGTCCGGTGCCACTTGCGCTGGAAAACGCCGTAGCCGGTGCAGAAACAGCAGGCCCACATGCAATCAGTGGTACTCCCTCCGTCCCATTGAGTTTGTCGTTGGAAAACCGTGCCCCCCTCACAATCCCGCTTCCCGAGCGACAATCTTAACGGGACGGAGGGAGTACTAGACTGGCAGTCTGGCAGCATAGTGGGTAGCACATGGAAATCGCATAGGGGCTGATCCCAAAAGACAATGGTGCGTGGCACATCATTAACCATAATGTAACTAGAAAAAACAACAAATAAATGGAGTTCACTAGCTAGAGTACAAATTAAAGATCAAATAGAGAAAGCTTAATTTGATAAAAAATTGGTCAATGCGTGACAAAAAAGTTACAACTCCCCTCCCTACGTATGCTATTTCATCTTTCCGGTCTCCAGCGGAGAAGTTAAGGCTGAGAGTTATAGTAAATTCAAAACCTGCAAAGTAGTAGAATTTTGCTTACATGCATGAACCCTTGCAGTTTTTCAGTCGATCTGGTCCAAGATCTTCGAGTCTACGCTAGTCAACTGGGGTCAGCAAGAAAAGCAAAGAACAAATGCAAGTAGCCAACTAGGGAGGACATGAGGACGTACTACTATATATGGATCAATAGCTCACACAACCTTAGCATGCATTTAAGTGGAGGAACAAGCTAGGACGGGAGCTTGGACATCTATCCCGGCCCTATCCAACCATTCCCATCCCCACGTTCATCAGCTAGCCTTGAGATCGATCTGAGAGATGGGTGAGTCCACCGAGAACAATACGGCCGGTTTCGCGGATGCCCTGAAGTTCTGGCAAGGAAACCAGCTGCGCATCCTCGTCGTCGCGAGCCTCGTCATCCAGTGGCTCCTCTTCGTCTGCGCCCCTTTTCGCCAGCATCGAATCCCAGGTCTGCTGAGGCTCTTCATCTGGCTGGCCTACCTGGGCAGCGACGCCGTGGCCATCTACGCCCTCGCCACCCTCTTCAACTCCCACAGGTGCGACGCCGGCAGCAGCAGCAGCCGTCCCGGCGTGGAGCTGCTATGGGCGCCAATCATGCTGGTTCACCTGGGCGGCCAGGACAGCATAACGGCCTATAACATCGAAGACAACGAGCTGTGGAGACGGCATGTCCTAACAGCGGTGTCTCAGGTCAGTGCATGCCTGGATCAAAGGTCCTAATTAAACTTCTGCATAGAATAGACTGCATCAATTAAAGTTCTGCCAATCGTAGAACTCCCTGTGATGTGAATGTGATTAATTTTTTTCGCTAAAACTCTTACGATTAAGCCACTTGCTTAGTTGCTTATGATTGCTTAAGCTTTGGGATATTTGTTTCGGTAGATAGGGTAACTAGCTACTGTAACTAGTAGGGTGGGTGGTTCACAAAAATGCCAGTTTCTGCATAGGACACTGTTAGGGTCGCGTGGGAGAGGGAGAAGGAGAGGGAGAGGGTCGCGCCATTGTGGAGAGCGTGACGGGTCGCGTAGTAGAGATTTCGTTTCAAATGGCCAGCAACATGCAAATGTCACTTTCAGTATGACGTCGTGCGTGAATCAGCCCCGCGCGCTTGTCCCTCCCCCGCCCCATGTCCTTTCCATTTGCAAATGTCACTTTGATTATGACGTCATCCTGATGCAGGTTAAGAAAACCCAAAACATTTACTTTAACACTTTTCCTATAGCGCAGTCGCCTGAATTTTGTCTCTGTTTCAGGCGATGCCTCCTCCGTTGGATGGAGTTTGCGATCCGTGCGCTGAGATGGTTTCCATTGGGTTCCTGTGTTGTGTTTGGTTCCTATTGGGTCCGGGTGTGATCCACTGCACCCGCTAACACCGAACGGAGCAACGGACCGGCCAGAATTCTCAGTATATACTGTTTGTATTCCTCGAACGGCGCGAAAGGAATCGGGGTTTCTCGAGCTCGTCACGGGTGGCGATTTTCCCGTGGTCCTCCCCATCCCATGCCACGGCAGCGCCTACTGCCGCTCGCGCCGGCATCTCCCTCTCTCCCCTTCCCATCTTCTCGCTCGGAAGCCGCCGCCGCCTTCTCGGTCACTCGGACGAGCGCGCGCCGCGTGTAGGCCCCGCCCGGCCTCGGATTCCGTCGCTCCAAGACAATCACCCCAGCTTCAGATGCCGCGCCCGCGCCTCGCCTCAAGATGCTGCCCACAAGATGCCGCCCGCGGCTCGCTCGTCTCTGCCATAGCTTGAGGTCAGCAGCTAGCTGCGTTCTGCGCTTGCTTCGTCGAGGTTTGTTGTTTGAAAACCCCCCGTCCCTGTTGATTCGATTTACTTCTCTTTGATTTTGTTAGGGGTTTCGGTTTGGATTGCTTGTAAGAAGTGGATTCGTAGCCAAGTTGAGCAATGGTGCTTGCAAATCTGTTTTTAGTGGTCAGCTCAGATGTTTTTTAAGTTTGGTGTCGATCTGTAGATCTGGTTTTGAAGGATGTGGTTGTTTCTGTAGTTGTTCCCGTTAATTAGGTTTTGGTTATTTACGATTTCATGGTTTCTGGGTTCGATTTGCCGTGTGTTCCGTGGCTTTTTCGCGGCCGTGGAGCGACCGGGCGCTGGTTGGTGCAGGATTGAGACCAGCAGCGCTGCTGCTGCGCTCCTAGGTAGCACGACGGTTTCTGACAGGGGCAGGCGTGGATGAGGCCGTCAGCGCCACGGGCGGAGCTACCGGGGCTGCTCTGTTCTTTCAATTCTTCATAAATCTCTGAAGGAAATTCATCTCGAGTTCTGACATGCAGATTGAAGGCCTATCAGAAATTGTGAATGCACTTGTGATGGATGGATGGATGCCTGCTGGAAATCAAAGCAGCGATAGACCATAGATGTACAGGGATGTTGCAGCAGCAGGGCTGGGTAAGAAGGCGCAGGACCAGCCATTGATGGCTGAAAGGGAGCTTTTAGCCCATCTCTGTCCGGCCTCCGACGTGAATTGCAGTTAGCATGAATGGTGGCAGGGCAGGTGGTCCGGTCACCGGTGGTACTGAATATTTGCACAGGTGACCTGCACATTTTCTTGCACAAGCCACCTGCAGCTGCTAGTGCAAATCTTCTGTCCAGTCCATAGGGGGCACTTACCTGCACCTGCTGTAAACTGTTGTTCATGCACTCAACCATTCATTCATTCTTCACCCTTTTAGCTTACTGTATTCTGCAATCTCACCAGCTTGCAACTCAGCAACTGGCTGCTAGCTAGTAATTTAATATACATGATTTGAGGCTTGTCTCAGCAACTCAGCAACTGTTGCTCATGTTTTTGAATCTGATTGTTTGTTTCTATTTTTTTTCTTTCTCAGGTCTCTGGCAATTTGAATCAGGGAGCATGATTTGAGGCTTGTCTCTAGATCTTGCGTTTAGGTCAATATAGGGTGTAGGTTCTTGCTATGAGTGCATGCCACTTTGTAAAGAAGTAGCTAGTTTGGTGAGAGCATTTGATGCTAAAGTGGTTGTAAATTTTAATATACATTGAAGAGGTTAAAGTAAACAAGATAATAATATTCTGTTAGATTGCTGATGTTAACACTTTTGTACCCATTATTCTAGCTTTATGGTTTTCTCTATAAGTGTTTTTTGTTGTGTACTACTAACCTTTTATAGGGAAGACAAGGAGAAGTTTGAGGGTTGTGCATGTTCCTCTTGTCTTCTTGTTTATAGATAGTTCAATTGGGTCTTGTATTATATTATTATGAGTTTGATTTTGTTCTTACAGAGCAAGATGTTGAAGTATGACTTTTGTGCATGGATACTAGAAGCACCATGAGGGTACGCGGTCAGTTAAAGTCCAACCAGCATTTTATTGAGATCCTTTGTCCTCAGTACCATGGCAACAGGTGAGTTTTGCATTTTTTAAATTTAGTCTGTGTAGCACTTGCTTTTTAACTCATTGATAGTTATTGAATTGATCATATGATGATAATATGAGTCGCCTTGTTATATGTTTCTTGTGATTTCTTTGTTATTTGTGATTGTGCTTACCCTCACCAAGTTTTTATCCTTGTCCTTCCATAGAAAGAAATTGTCCTTTGTGATTTGTGCTAACACACCTTTTTCTTATGTTTGTTGTGTTTGTGATTTCTTTGTTTTTTGTGATTGTGCTAATCCTCACCAAGTTTTTATCCTTGTCCTTCCACAGAAAGAAATTGTCCTTTGTGATTTGTGCTAACACACATTGTCTTATGTTTGTTGTGTTTTGTGTCAGCCCACACCAAGTTTTTATCCTTGTCCTTCCATAGAAAGAAATTGTCCTTTATGCTCTGTTCTATGTGATCTGTGTTTGTGTTAGATGAAGGTTTGTGGAGGTAGGCTAAGATGTGGGGGTTGTTCCATCTGTGTTTTTCAACAAATTCTATACTTGGTCTGCCCTGCATAGTTCACAGGAGGTTCGATGGCATCATCAACAATTGTTATGTGTTTTTCTTGATCTAGAATGATTTCATCATTTAGTTGTCTTTCATGTTCTGTATATTCTGTGCAACCATTTCTTGCATATTGATTATGTATGCAACCATGCTTTTCTTTATTGGGCTGTTTTTGTATTTTATTTAATTTGGTTGTTTTCTTTAGGGGTTTAAGAATTTTTCCAAGTCTGCAAGAGAACTAGTAGACTGAATGCAGAAGATTGATAGTCCATGAGGAAGTAAGTTTATCCATTTGCCTTTGTCGTTATAGTTGGATCTGATTTTCCCTTTGCTTTTAGTCTTATGAACTGCATTTATCATGCAGTTCTACTTGTGTCCGTGGTACCTTGCAGTATATTATACTGTAACCATGCTGCCATGCTTGCTAATATTTCTGTCAACTTTTTCCTATGTATTGTGATTTGACTACATTGTCTTGTTTGTTGGGTTTGTCTGTGCAGGAAGATGGGAAGGTCACCTAGCTCCAATTCTGCCGATATCAGGAGTGGGAGGCCACATGAGCAAGTTAGAGCAGAACATGCCATTGCTCAAGCAGAGGGTCGCCTTTCTTGATATTGCTAGGATTTGTGAACTCTTTGTGTGAGTGATTGAAATATTTATGTGATGATAATTTTAGTTGTGAAGCGTGATGGTAATTTTCATAACAAGGATGACTCAAAAGTTGTTATTTTTTTACAGCTTGCAACAAAAAAGAAAAATGACAATCCAATTGAAACCATGGATGAAGCATATGGTAGATATGTATGTCTGCACCAAGTTCTCTTAGCAGTAGCAGTAGCTGTAGGCCACTCATATGTAAACCAAACAACTTAAATATTCAGTTATCTAATTGCAGTTTGATGTAATGTAAATTGCAAGTGTAGGGCACTGCAATTTTAGTTATGAGCACGTGCAATCCATGTTTTATCATGTTGCGGCCCAGTAGTCTCTTCCAGTAGCCTCAGATAGATACATTTCATTGTAGGTCTAAAGATATAATAGTACTGAATTTACAATTGCTCTATTACTAATAAATTACATAAATTATTTGGCCACTGTAATTGCAGCTATTGGCATTCCATCTCTTGTTTTTGGTTTTCTTAATTCTTGACTTTTCCCTTCTTTAGCTTGCTTGCTGCACTTGCACTGCTACTATTTATTGGTGTTGTCAACATCTCCTGCATGATAATATCAACAACATTAGATGAATATACATATGAAGAAGTGACATCTGTTGTTGTAGTGCTAACATTTACTTTTTGCCTATGTTTCTCTGTGTTACCTGATTTCCTTTTCTTTGTTTTTTAGGCACAGGAGGAAGATGCTTTTTTTGGCATGTCTTGATGGTATGCCCTCCTTCACGACAGTGTGTACAGGTAAAGTTGTTTTTTGCTTTGCTTCTGATGTCCTCAACTATTCCTATTTGCCTGGTCACTTTCTTGGGCCTTCCTCTTTTCTGAGCATTATTAGGGTCTTGCAAAAGCATTGTATCACTTTCTTGAGCTGATTATGTTTGAGGTAGTCTGACTGCATCATTAGCATCTTGCAAAACATTAGTACCACTTGTTGAACAGATTGTGATTGTTGCGATCGACTTCATCTCTTTGGTTCATTGAGTTTTCTTTGCATTAACTCGGCTTCTTCAAGAACATAGTTGAATGTTTCCATTGTTCTTGATCCATCTGAAGCAATATTGCTCAACTTGTTTGACAATATGTTGTGCCTCAATGGCTGCTCTTCTCAATCTCTATTTACGATACAATGATTCGCCTTGTCAACTGTTTCCTCTCTTTAGCCCTCCATCTTTCAATGAAATAACATCATCTAGCTGAGATATATTTAGGTTTGTGAGCACCTTGATGATATGGTAGCATATTATACCATCTTTTTCAAATTTGCAACACAGACATCTGTAGTTTTTCTATGTCAAGTCTACTATCACAATGTATCTCCTTGTTCTGAACTCAAACTGCCTATGATACTCTGATTTTAACACTGTATAAACTTTATCTTTCTAGAGTTCTTGAGCCTCATACTTTGTTGCCAATATGAGCTCCTTTTGAAACTTGAAGAATATCTTTACATTTCTGACCTTGCAACTTTGCCTTTCGAACTCATATGCCGTACTCAACCAAGGCATTGATCCAGTTTCAAAGTCCTGCTCCTTGATTCTTTTCTGTTGTATCTGAAATTCTTTGGAACTCATTCATAAATCTCATAATACTATACCTTGGTGTGACATCCAGTTTGAATAATGCATTTGTGCCTTCACTTCTCGCTGTAGAGTTGATGAAAGGGAAGAAATGCTTCTTGAAGTAACATGGAACAAAATTTTCCCTATTAAACCACATGTCATCAAGGTATCTGAAGCCACCGACATCATATGTTTGTGGCAACTTCTTGTACAAGTACTCAAACTCTGTTTCGGTCAATGAGTTCCTAAGAATGTCAAAGAGATCGTCATGCAACTTCTTGTTCCTTTCCAATGAAATCCCACCACCTTTCTCTGAGCTTTCTTCACAATGTGGAAGAAGCGATTCCGATGAATAGTGTCCGGTAGAAGCGTTTCGATAGCAACCTTCATTGCTAGGTCATGGTCGATGATTATAGTTTTAGGGTGCTTTCCTCCCATACAAATCGGCATTATGCTCAAACAACCACTCAAAAGTTTACGTAGTTTCATCCATTATGAAAGCGCAGCGACCAAACGAGCAATTGTCCCCATGACACAGTAATACCAACAATTGGTGCAAACTTGAGGGAGTACTTGTTTGTGTTGTAGGTTGTATCAAAAGCCGATGCAATCTCCAAATTCCTCATAGTACCTTCTCGCTTGTACCATTGGACCGGAAAATGTTTTTCACTTTGTTGTTTTCATCTATGGAAAACTTGTAGAAGAACATTGGGTCCTCACTTTGTTCTTAGAGAACCAGTCATACACTTCTTTGCATGTCATTATCCGATGTTGCCTTATTTATCTTTGTCTTCTCGTTCTTGATATGTTTCTTGTTGTATGGAGTGACATCCCCTCTTATGTAAGATAGGACTGCCATAATCTTCCTATCTGGTAGGTTCACTTTGTTGAATGTTGCAATAAGTTCCTTCTCCATTTTAGTCATCCTAATCTGTGAAAATAGTTTATTCTTCTGATCCTTGCTTGCAAACGCATGATTATGCTCAAGATTCAACCTTGGTTATTGTCCATTCTCCATTACAGAGTGTGAGAACAAGTTCAATGGGGGCACTTTCGGTTGGTACAAGCGTATTTGTTTTCCTTTTGTTTGGCACAGAGGATTAGGTGTTGGCGGTGTATCGAAATCTTCTTTTGTTCTTTCTTGCGCTTTGGACTCTGAAATGAAATCTTCCTTTTGTTGTTTCTTGTGCTTCGTACTCTGAAACATCGCTGCTATCATCCTCCTTTCTCTTACCGGACAAGTTACACTTGTATGTGACCCTTGTTACCCAGCCATAGTTGTGATCTTTCTTGTCTTGGCACTTGTATGTGTGCCATTTGACCAATGAAAACCCGACTATAAATACGTAGTCATTGTAGAAACTGCAGATGCATCTTCTGTTGTTTTGAATTTCATGCCTAGTGAGGAACATGCACCTTGCATGTTCATGAGACAAACCCTCACCGCCATAATACTTTGGCTTTCAATCTGAATTGCCCCAGCTCTTCTTCATCTTGTTCTTCACTTGCTACTAGATGTTGTTTTGTCATGTTGCCCTCTCTATCTTGCTCCCCTTCTTTGCCTTGTTCATCTTGTCTTTCCTCATGTACCATGTTTTCTTCATTTGCAAACTCTGCATACTCGCTTGATTCTTCATTTCATGCAGTCGTCTGCATCATCTTGTGGCGGCTCATAGATTCTCTTTGGTAGTGATGAACATCCGGTTCTGCTTTCACCTTTGGTAAGGAAAAAGGTGTCTTTATTAGATATTTCATCTTGTATTGTAGCAAACAAAGTATTTTAGCTGTATATGTAGAGAACAAGTAAATACCTCTAGTGGAAATGACTCATTGAGTATGTCCATGAAACTTCCTGTCATTTCAGATGACAAAAATTCTTCATAATTTTGATTTGAAGATTTAGCCTGAGCTATGACTTGGTTCATAAGGCTTGTATAGCTTGATCCGCCCTGTGATAGTACATAACTTGTTCCTCCTGGTGACATGATCACCTGCAAATTTTGGGGTTCACCATTACAATAAAATCTTAGTTCTTTTGTTAGTACCCATTTTTTGGACTTCTTGCAGCTATTACATTGTTCTGCATTGAATCATGAAATGTGGATCGACACTAGGAAGAGCACATGCTTTATTTAATTTGAACATTACGCAGACAACATCCAGCACAACAGTTGCCTTTCGTACTTGTAGTGTACTGATCAGTCTGGGTAGGACATACTAGCTAATTACATTGTTCTTTGTGCAGGACGTTGCTTCCGGAATAATAGACTTCTCAAAATAAGACCCAAGGGCAGTGTGCATCATTTCAACAACTGGAGCTGTTTCTACAACAACTCTTCTCTAAGATTCAAACTCTGGTGGTGCGATTACTTATATGAGGTATGTTGTTGTTGGTTATCCCGTATCTTGAAATGTTGGATGGACAAACACAATGACACTTGTATCTTGAATATGTAAAGTCTAAATTCTATCTCATTCAATTACTACCTACTTTCAATTACTACACCTTGCAATTACTACCCCTTGTGTGAATATCTAACTTTGGAATGATATCTGTATGCACATAATTGTCGATTACGTAATTGCGATCGAGAATAATGTAAATTGAAAGTATCCGGTTGTGCAATTTTAGTTTTGAGTATATGTAATATGCTAGTGTTAAACATCTGAACTATTTGTTTGTTGTGATTTGTGCACTAGTGTACTAGTAATTCTTTAGAAGTCTTTTTACAATACCAATTACATCATAGTTACTTGTTGATCCATAGTATGAGAAAACGCTTTTAGTATTCGATACCAGTCTTGTAGTTTGGGCTCATTCAGATGTTTCAAATTATTATGCGGTGACAACTTAAGTTACTTAAAGTTCGAAAACAAGATTGGGTGCCTTTTGTCCATGGGCACTTTGGTTTTATTGATGAGTGTGCTTTGCTAATGATTTAACTGTGTAGTTCATGTGCCATGGCACCACTCTCATCATTACATTTTGTCTGAGCTTAATGCAATCAAATGTTGGTTTGGCTTGTCATCATTACTTTAGGTTCCTTGGTACCTTGTAAATTGTAATCAGCTTAACTGTTGAGACACATAGTGTACTTTGTCTAATGTAGTAATTGCACTTTTAAGCACTTAAAGTTGCACTAATTCAAATGTGCACTTTGTTTGCTTGTCTTGGCAACATTGCAAGGTTGAGTTTCACACGTAAAAGGGTCATACTCTAGGTATTTAGAAAGGTGGACGCATGCTTACGTTGTATTCATTTCTTAAAAGCGAGCATTTACATTGTCGAATCTGCTAACTTTGCTCTTGTGTACCCAGGTTAATCACTTGATATATGGTTCGGTATAGAGGAGGATGGCTTGGTTTGGTTCTTGTCAAGAAGCTGTGGCAATGATTTCCTTGTGTGTTTGTTTGGTGATGCCACACAACCCATCGATGGTAGGGCGATCTCAAAGGGACTGATACCCAAGCATGTGGCAATTTGAATGGTATGATGATGAAGAATGTGGATGGATCGTAATGGAGTTCCTATGGACAATAGTTATACATCCAGAGAGCTAAATTTGTCCTCTCAACATGCTCCTACTCATTTTGAAATATAGTCTAGAACATATAGATACCGCTTTTTTTTAAGCATTAGTGGGCTTCTATAATTGCACACATACCATCGTGTCTTGCTATTTGCACACGCATGCGATATAATTGCATTATCGGATAGTAATAGTTGAAATAATACAAATGTGCAATTATCTTGTGTATGGTCTGAATATTTCAGCATCATTTATAACTGGAGGTTGCAATGGCAGAATTGTTATTTTCTATGTATGCTTGTACGTCTGTTTATTGGGCTGATAGTTTGATTTTGGGCCAAACGAGCTATAACGGGTATCGGATCCTGCGCCCGTTAAGCTTTGGCGGGCCCGGTAGCATATGTTATTCCAAAACGGGTTGATTCGCGGACCCGGTAAGGTTTGCTAGCGTAGATTTGAACTGGGACAGATCCTGAGCGTTGGATGCTGATCTGATGATTCACAAACGTCGACTGAAAAAATGCTAGATTTCAGTCGACTGGGATATAGCATCTCCCTTACTTTAACGTTCTATACATTTTGAATGGCTTATCTATTTTCAATTCCGTCTACACCGTTAT